TGGGATCGAGTCCCACATCAGGCTCCCTGCTCGGCAGGAAGCCTGCTTCTCCCTCTCCCAACCCCCGTGCTTGTGTTGTCTCTCTCTGTCAAATAAATAAAATCTTAAAAAAAAGAAAAGAAAATATTTTAAAAAAAAGAATTTTTATGGGGCTTTATTACATAAATGTGATTGAATAAATCATTGACCACGTGGTTGAACTCACTCCAGCTCCCCTTCTCTCCCTGAAAGTTGGGTTGATATCACCTGGCTCAGCCCCATCCCTCTAGTCACATGGTTGGTTTATCTGGCCTGACCAGTGCCCATCCTGAATCATCTCGGTATAAACTCAGGTGCGATCTATGAAGCAAGCCCACCATGAATAATGGATACATTCTTATTATTCTGGAAATTCCAAGGGTTTAGGGGTTAATTCTCAGAAACTGAGGACAAAGGCCAGACAATTTCTTTATTATACAACATCTTTTTATCATTCAAAATATCCTTCTTTGTATCTAGTGACCATTTTTGTGTTAGAGTCTATTTTTTTCTGATCCTAGTATAACCACTCTAGCTCTCCTCTGGTTACTGTTTGTAAGGCATATCTTTTTTTTTTTTTTTTCATCTTTGTATTTTGACTCTTTGGTCTTTGAATCTAAAGTGTGTGTCACAGCATAAAGTTGGGTCATGGATTTACATTTAATGTAATTACTGATTAGGTTGGATTTACACCTGTCATTTTGCTATTTATCATATGCCTTTTTTGTTCCTCTTTTCCTTCACTTCCTTTTCTGTTAAGTATTTCTAATGTAACATTTTAATTCTCTCATCCTTACTATTGTACTTCGAGTTATTAGTTATTACTCTAGGGAATACAATTAACATCTTAACATTTAACAATCTAGTTTGGAATAATACCAACTTAATTTCAGTAGTGTACAAAACCTTTGTTCCTATTAAACTCCATTTCTTCCCCTTCCTTTGTGCTGTTATTATCTTAATCTTTATACATGCATGCCCATCAAACAGATTTATAATTAGTGCTTTATCCATTTGTCTTTAAAATCAGACAGGAGAAGAAAAGAACTACAAACAAAAGTACATTTATGCTGTCTTGCATATTTACCTATGTAGTTATCTTTACCAGGGACTTTATTCATTCCTTCATGGGGATTCCGGTTACTGTCTAGTGACCTTTTATTTCAGCCTGAAAGACCCCCTTTTCTTTCTTGTAGGGCAGGTTTACTAGCAACAAATCCTCTCTGGTTGTGTTAGATCTAGGAATGTCTTGGGGCGCCTGGGTGGCTCAGTTGGTTAAGCGGCTGCCTTCGGCTCAGGTCATGATCCTGGAGTCCCGGGATCGAGT